GCTTGTACTGGTGCTGGTGCTGATGATGTTGCTTCTGCTTGTGCCTGGGCTGATCGCGGCGCTTGTGCTGGTGCCTGTTCTAGTGCAGGAGCTGGTGCTGTTGCTGGTTCTGGTGCTTGTGCTGGTGCTTCTGCTGGTGCTTGTGCTTGTGCTTGTGCTGGTGCTTGTGCTGGTGCTTGTGCTGGTGGTGCTGGAGCCTGTGCCGTTGCTTGTGCTTGTGTTGGTGTGTGTGCTGATGCTGGCACTGATGCCTGTGCTGGTGGTGGTATTGGTGCCTGTGCTGGTGCCTGTGCTGGTGCCTGTGCTGGTGCCTGTGCTGGTGCTTGCGCTGGTGCTGGTGCCTGTTCTAGTGCAGGAGCTGGTGCTGTTGCTGGTTCTGGTGCTTGTGCTGGTGCTTCTGCTGGTGCTTGTGCTTGTGCTTGTGCTGGTGCTGGTGCTGGTGCTGGTGCTAATGATGGTGCTGGTGCTTGTGCTAGACCCGGTGCTTCTGCTGGTGCTGGTGCTGGTGCTTGTGCTTGACCCAGTGCTCCTGCTCCTGCTGGTGCTGGTGCTGGTGCTTCTGCTTGACCCAGTGCTATTGCTGGTGTTGGTGTTGGTGCAGGACCCGGTGCTTGTACTGGTGCTGGTGCTGATGATGTTGCTTCTGCTTGTGCCTGGGCTGATGGCGACGCTTGTGCTGGTGCCTGTTCTAGTGCAGGAGCTGGTTCTGGTGCTGGTTCTGGTGCTTGTGCTTGTGCTTGTGTTGGTGCTTGTGCTGGTGCTTGTGCTGGTGCTTGTGCTGGTGGTGGTGTTGGTGCCTGTGCTGGTGCCTTTGCTGGTGCCTGTGCTGGTGCCTGTGCTGGTGCCTCTGCTGGTGCCTGTGCTGGTGCCTGTGCTGGTGCCTGTACTAGTGCTGGAGCTGGTGCTGTTAATGGTTCTGGACCCGGTGCTTTTGTTGGTTCTGGCGCTGGAGCTGGTACTGGTGCTGGTGCTGGTGATGGTGTTGGTGCTGGTGCTGGTGCTCGCGCTTCAATTAGTTCTTGTGCTGGTGCTGGTTCTGCTGCTGGTACTTGTGCTGTACCCGATGCTTGTGCCTGTCCTGGTGCTGGTGCTTGTGCTGGCACTTATGCTGGTGCTTGTACCAGTGCTGCAGCTAGTGTTTGTTTTGGTGTTGGTATTGGACCGGGTGCTTGTGCTGGTGGTGGTTTTGGTGCTGTTGCTGGTGCATGTTCTGGTGCCTATACTACTGCTGGTGTTTGTGCTGGACCCTGTGCTTCTGCTGGTGCTGGAGCTTGTGCTGGTGCTGATGCTGTTCCTTTTGCTGCTGCCTGGGCCGGTTCTTCCGCTTGTGTTCGTGCCTGTACTAGTGGTGGAGCTGGTGCTGGTGCTGTTGCTTTAAATGATGCTGGCGCTTGTTCCTGTCCAGGTGCTTAGGCTGGTGCTAGTGCTGGTGGTGGTGCTGCTGGTGGTCCTAGTGCTTAGGCTGGTGTTGGTGCTGGTGCTGGTGCTGGTGCTGGTGCTGGTGCTGGTGCTAGTGCTGGTGCTAGTGCTGGTGCTGGTGCTGGAGCTGGTGCTTGTGCTAGACCCGGTGCTTCTGCTGGTGCTGGTGCTGGTGCTGGTGCTTGTGCTTGACCCAGTGCTAGTGCTTGTGTTGGTGTTGGTGCAGGACACGGTGCTTGTACTGGTGCTGGGGCTGATGATGTTGCTTCTGCTTGTGCCTGGGCTGATGGCGGCGCTTGTGCTGGTGCCTGTTCTAGTGCAGGAGCTGGTGCTGTTGCTGGTTCTGGTGCTTGTGCTGGTGCCTGTGTGGTTGCTTTTGCTGATGCTGGCGATTGTCCTGGATCTTAGGCTGGTGCTAGTGCTGGTGCTGGTGGTGGTCCTGGTGCTTATGCTGGTACTCCTGTTGGTGCTTGTGCTGGTGCTTGTGCTGGTGCTTGTGCTGGTGGTGGTGTTGGTGCCTGTGCTGGTGCCTTTGCTGGTGCCTGTGCTGGTGCCTGTGCTGGTTCCTCTGCTGGTGCCTGTGCTGGTGCCTGTGCTGGTGCCTGTACTAGTGCTGGAGCTGGTGCTGTTAATGGTTCTGGACCCGGTGCTTTTGTTGGTTCTGGCGCTGGAGCTGGTACTGGTGCTGGTGCTGGTGATGGTGTTGGTGCTGGTGCTGGTGCTCGCGCTTCAATTAGTTCTTGTGCTGGTGCTGGTTCTGCTGCTGGTACTTGTGCTGTACCCGATGCTTGTGCCTGTCCTGGTGCTGGTGCTTGTGCTGGCACTTATGCTGGTGCTTGTACCAGTGCTGCAGCTAGTGTTTGTTTTGGTGTTGGTATTGGACCGGGTGCTTGTGCTGGTGGTGGTTTTGGTGCTGTTGCTGGTGCATGTTCTGGTGCCTATACTACTGCTGGTGTTTGTGCTGGACCCTGTGCTTCTGCTGGTGCTGGAGCTTGTGCTGGTGCTGATGCTGTTCCTTTTGCTGCTGCCTGGGCCGTGCTCGTGCTAGTGCTTGTCTGGTGTTGGTGCAGTTGCTGGCGCTTGCGCCTGTCCTGGTGCTTAGGCTGGTGCCAGTGCTGGTGCTGGTGGTGATGCTAGAGGTGCTGCTGGTTCTTCTGCTGGTCCCGGTGCTTTTGCTGGTGCTGGTGCTTGTTCTGGTGCCTGGGCCGGTACTGGCGCTTGTGCTGGTGCCTGTACTAGTGCTGGATCTGGTGCTGGTGCTGGTGCCTGTGTCAATGCTTTTGATGATGCTGGCACTTGTGCCTGTCCTGATGCTTAGGCTGGTAATGGTGGTGATGCTGGTGGTGGTGCTGGTACTTGTCTTGGCTCAGTTGCTTGTTGTCGTGCTGGTGCTGCTGTTTGGTGTTAGTGCTGGTGCTGGCGCATATGCCTGTCCTGGTGCTTAGGCTGGAGCTAGTGCGGGTGCTGGAGCTGGTGTTGGTGCTTGTGCTGGTGCTTTGGCCGGTACTAGCACTTGTGCTGCTGTTTGTACTAGTAAAAGAGTGATGATGCTGGTGTTAGTGCCGCTGGTGCTGGTGATGATGCTGGTGCTGGTGCTTGTGCCTGTCCTGGTGTTTAGGCTGGTGCTGGTGCTAGTGATGGTACTGGTGTCGGAGCTGGTGCTTCTGCTTGACCCGGTGCTTGTGCTGGTGTTGGTGTTGGCGCTTCTGCATGTCCGGGAGCTTAGGCTAGTGCTGCTGTTTGTTCTGGTGCTGGTGGTTGTGCTGGTGCTGGTGCTTGTGCTTGTGCTTGACCCAGTGCTTGTGCTGGTGTTGTTGCAGGTGTTGGCTCTTGTGCCTGTCCTGGTGCTTAGGCTTGTGCTGGTGCTGGTGCTGGTGCTGGTGCTGGTGCTGGTGCTGGTGTTGGTGGTGGTGCTGATGCTTGTGCTGGACCTGGTGCTTGGGCTGGTGATGGTTCTGGTGCTGATGCTCGTGATTATGCTGGTGCTGGTGCTGCTGCTGGTGCTTATGCTGGTGCCTAGGCCGTTACTGGCACTTGTGCCTGTGCCTGTATTAGTGCTGGAGCCTGGGCCGGTGCCGGTGCTTGTGCTGCTGCCTGTACTAGTAAAAGAGCTGGTGCTGGTGCTTGTACTATTGCTGGTGCTGTTGCCTGTGCCGTTGCTTTTGCTGATGCTGGCACTTGTTCCTGTCCTTATGCTTGTACTAGTGCTGAAGCTGGTGCTGGTTTTGGTGCTGGTGCTTATGCTGGTACTTCTATCAGTACTATTGCTGGGGCGGGTTGTGGTGCTTGTGCTGGTGCCTGCACTGGTGCTGTAGGTGGTATTGGTCCTGTGCTTGTGCTTGTGCGGGTTCTGGTGCCTGTGCTGGAGCCTGTGCTGATGCCTGTGCTGGTGCCTGTGCTGGTGCCTGTGCTGGGGCCTGTGCTGTTGCTGGTTCTGCTGTTAGGGCTGGACCCGGTGCTTTAACTGCTGCTGGTGCTGAGGCTGTTGGTTCTGCTTGTGCCTGGGCTGGTTGTGGCGCTTGTGCTGGTACCTGTACTAGTAAAAAAGCAGTGCTGGTGCTGGTGTTGGTGCTAGTGCTAGTGCTGGTGCCTGTGCCGTTGCTCTTGCTGATGCTGGCGTTTGTGCATGTCCTGATTCCTGAACAAATGCTGAAGCTTGTGCTGGTTTTGGTGCTGATGCTGGTGCTTGTGCTGGTGCTGGTGCTTGTGCTGGTGCTTGTACCAGTGCTCTTGCTGGAGCTGGTGCTGGTGCCTGTGCTGGTGCCTGTGCTGGTGTCTGTGCTGGTGCCTGTGCTGGTGCCTGTGCCGCTGCCTGTGCTGGTGCCTGTGCTGGTGCTGGTTCTGCTGTTAGTGCTGGACCAGGTGCTTGTATTGGTGCTGGTGCTGATGCTGTTGCTGGAGCTGGTCTTGTTGGTGGTTCAGGTGCTGGTGCTGGTGCTTGTGCTGGTGCTGCTGCTGGTGGTGCTCGTACCTGTGCCGTTGCTTGTGTTTGTGCTGGTCTTTCTGCTGGTGCTGGTGCTTGTGCCTGTGCTGCTGCCTATACTAGTGCTGGTGTTTGTTCTGGACCCAGTGCTTGTGCTGGTTCTGGTGCTGGAGCTGGTGCTGGTGCTGGTGACTGTGCTGGTCCTGGTGCTGGTGTTGTGGCTGCCGTTTGTGCTTTGGCCGGTACTTGGGCCGTTGCTGGTGCTTAGGTTGGTGCTGCTGCTGGTGCCGTTGCTATTGCTGATGCTTCCGCTTGTGTCTGTCTTGGTACTTAGCCTGATGCTGGTTCTAGTGCTGGTGATGGTAGTGGTGCTTGTGCTTGACCCAGTGCTTGTGCTACTGTTGGTGCTGCTGTTGGCGCATGTGCCTGTCCTGGTGCTCAGGCTGGTGCTGGTGCTGGTGGTGGTGTTGGTGGTGGTGCTGATGATTATGCTGGACCCGGTGCTTGGGCTGCTGATAGTGCTGTTGCTGATGCTGATGCTGGTGCTGTTGCTGGTGCTGGTTCTTATGCTGGTGCTTCGGCCGGTACTGGCACTTGTGCTGCTGCCTTTACTAGTAAAAGAGCTAATGCTGCTGCTTGTGCTGGTGCTAGTGCTGGTGCTTTTGCCTGTGCCGTTGATCTTGCTGATGCTGGCCCTTGTGCCTGTCCTAATGCCTCTATTAGTGCTGAAGCTGGTGCTGATGCTGATACTGTTGCCTCTGCTTGTGCCTGGGCTGGTGGCGGTGCTTGTACTGGTGCCTAAATTAGTGCTGGAGCTGGTGCTGTTGTTGGTGCTTGTGCTGGTGCTGATGGTGCTGGTGCCTGTAGCTTTGCTTGTGCTTGTGCTGGCGTTTGTGCTGGTGCTTATGCCTGTGCCGGCTCTTGTACTAGTGCAAGTGCTTGTGCTGGTGCTGGTGCTGGAGCTGGTGCTGGTGCTGGTGCCTGTGCTGCTGCTGTAGGTGGTATTGGTCCTGGTGCTTGTTCTGTTGGTGGTGCTTGTGCTGGTGCCTGATTTAGTGCAGGTGCCTGAGCTGGTGCCTGTGTTTATGCTGGTACCTGTACTAATGCTGGAGCTGGTGCTGGTGCTAGTGCTGTTGCTTGTTTGGTTTTGGTGCTGGTGCTTGTCTGGTGTTGGTGCTGGTGCTGGCTCTTGCGCCTGTCCTGGTGCTTAGGCTGGTGCTGGTGCTGGTAGTGGTGCTAGAGGTGCTGCTGGTTCTTGTGCTGGTCCCGGTGCTTTTGCTGGTGCTGGTGCTTGTGCTGGTGCCTGGGCCGGTACTGGCGCTTGTTCTAGAGCCCGTACTAGTGCTGGTGCTGGTGCTGGAGCTAGTGCTTGAGCTGGTGCTGGTGCTGGTTCTTAGGCTGCTGCTGTTTCTGGTGGTGGGTCTGGTTGTGGTGCTTGTGCTGGTGGTCGTGCTGGTGCTCCTATCTTTGTTTGTGCTGGAGCTTAGGCCATTGTCGACTCTTGTACTAGTGCAAGTGCTTGTGCTGGTGATGATGCTGGTACCGGTGCTGGTGCTGGTGCTGGTGCTGGTGCTGGAGCTGGAGCTAGAGCTGATGCTTGTGCTGGTGCCTGCGCTGGTGCTGTAGGTGGTATTGGTCCTGGTGCTTGTTCTCGTTCTGTTGCTTGTGCTGGTGCTAGATTGAATGCTGCTGCCTGGGCTGGTGCCTGCTCTTATGCTGGTACCTGTACTAATGCTGGAGCTGGTGCTGGTGGTGGTGCTGTTCCTTGTGCTTGACCCAGTGCCTATGCTGGTGTTCGTGCTGGTGCTGGTTCTTGTTCCTGTCCTGGTGCTTAGGCTGGTACTGGTGCTGATGGTGGTGCTGGTAGTAGTGCTGTAGCTGGTGCTTGTACTGGTTTTTGTTCTAATGCTGGTGTTGTTGCTTGTGTTGGTGCTTATGTTGGCACTTTTAAAGGTGCTGGTGCTGATGCTGATGGTGGTGCTTCTGCTTGTCTTTGACCAAGTGCTTGTGCTGGTGTTGGCTTTGGTGCTGGCAATTGTTCCTATCCTGGAGTTTAGGCTGGTGCTGGTGATGGTGCTAGTGACGGTGCTGGTACTTGTGGTAGATCAGTTGCTTGTTGTGGTGCTGGTGCTGGTGCTGGTGCTGGTACTGGTGCTGGTGTTAGTGCTGGTGTTGGCGCATATGCCTGTCCTGGTGCTTAGGCTGGTGCTAGTGGTGGTCTTGGAGCTGGTGCTTGTGCTTGTGCTTGTTCCTGTGCTGGTGCCTGTGGTTGTGCCTGTACTAGTGCTGATGCTGGTGCTGGTGCTGGTGCTGGAGCTGGTGTTTATGCCTGCGCTGGTGCTGTAGGTGGTATTGGTCCTGGTCTTTGTTCTCGTGCTGGTGCTTGTGCTTGTGCTGGTGCCAGATTTAATGCTGGTGCTTGTGCTGGTGCCTGATTTAGTGCTGGTGCCTGGGCTGGTGCTTGTCTGGTGTTGGTGCTGGTGCTTGTCTAGTGTTGGTGCTGGTGCTGGCTCTTGCGCCTGTCCTGGTGCTTAGGCTGGTGCTGGTGCTGGTAGTGGTGCTAGAGGTGCTGCTGGTTCTTGTGCTGGTCCCGGTGCTTTTGCTGGTGCAAGTGCTTGTTCTGGAGCCCGTACTAGTGCTGGTGCTGGTGCTGGAGCTAGTGCTTGAGCTGGTGCTGGTGCTGGTGCTTAGGCTGCTGCTGTTTCTGGTGGTGGGTCTGGTTGTGGTGCTTGTGCTGGTGGTCGTGCTGGTGCTCCTATCTTTGTTTGTGCTGGAGCTTAGGCCAGTGCCGACTCTTGTACTAGTGCAAGTGCTTGTGCTGGTGCTGGTGCTGGAGCTGGAGCTGATGCTGGTGCTGGTGCCTGGGCTGGTGGCGGCGCTTGTACTGGTGCCTGTACTAGTGCTGGTGCCTGTGATGGTGCTGGTGCTGGTGCATGGGCTGTTGCTTTTGTTGATGCTGGCGCTTGTGCCTGTCTGGTGCTTAGGCAGGTGCTGGTGCTGGTGCTGGTGATGGTGCTGGTGCTTATGCTGGTGCTTTGGCCGGTACTGCCACTTGTGCTGCTACCTGTACTAGTAAAAGAGCTGTCTGTACAAGTAAAAGAACTGGTGCTGGTGCCTGTGCTGTTGATCTTGATGATGCTGGCGCTTGTGCCTGTCCTAATGCCTCTACTAGTGCTGAAGCTGGCGCTGGAGCTGGTGCTGGTGCTGATACTGTTGCTTCTGCTTGTGCCCGGGCTGGTGGCGGCGCTTGTACTGGTGCCTGTACTAGTGCTGGTGCTGGTGCTAGTGCTGGTGCTGGTGGTGGTGCTGGTGCTTGTGCTGGTGCTTGTGGTGCTGGTGCTTGTACCGTTCCTCGTGCTTGTGCTGGTGTTTGTGCTTGTGCTTGTGCGTCTGCCTATACAAGTGCTGGTGTTTTTGCTGGACCTTGTGCTTGTGCTGGTTCTGGCGCAGGTGCTGGTGCTGGTGGCGGTGCTGGTGCTGTTGCTGGTGCTGGTGCTGGCGCTTCTGCCTGTCTTGGTGCTCACGTCGGTGCTGGTGGGGGTGAAGGTGCTGAGGCTGGTGATGATGCTAGAGCTTGTGCTAGACCCGTTGCTTGTGCTTGAGCTGGTGCTGGAGCTGGTGCTTGTGCTGGTGCTGGTGCTGGTGCAGGTGCTGGTGCCTTTGCTATTGCTGATGCTTCCGCTTGTGTCTGTCTTGGTACTTAGCCTGGTGCTGGTGCTACTGCTGGTGCTGGTGGTGGTGCTGGTGCTTGTGCTGGTGCTGGTGGTGCTGGTGCCTGTACCGTTCCTCGTGCTTGTGCTGGTGTTTGTGATGGTGCTGGTGCCTGTGCTGGTGGTGATGTTGATGTTTGTGCCTGTGCGTCTGCCTATACAAGTGCTGGTGTTTTTGCTGGACCTTGTGCTTGTGCTGGTTCTGGCGCTAGAGCTGGTGCTGGTGCTGGTGCTGGTGCTGGTGCTTCTGCCTGCCTTGGTGCTCACGTCGGTGCTGGTGGGGGTGGTGGTGCTGGTGCTGGTGATGATGCTAGAGCTTGTGCTAGACCCTATGCTTCTGCCTATACTAGTGCTGGTGTTTGTGCTGGACCTGGTGCTTGTGCTGGTTCTGGTGCCTGTGCTGGTGCCTGTGCTGGTGCCTGTGCTGGTGCCTGTGCTGGTGCCTGTGCTGGTGCCTGTGCTTGTGCCTGTGCTGGTGCCTGTGCTGGTGCCTGTGCTGGTGCCAGTGCTGGTGCCTGTGTTGGTGCCTGTGCTGGTGCTGGTTCTGCTGTTAGTGCTGGACCCTGTGTTTGTACTGGTGCTGGTGCTGATGCTGTTGTATCTGCTTGTGACTGGGCTGCTGGCGGCGCTTGTGCTGGCACCTGTACTATTAAAAGAGCTGGAGCTGGTGCTGTTGCTGGTTCTGGTCCTGGTGCTGGTGGTGCTGGTGCTAGTGCCTGTGCTTGTGCTGGTGCTTAGGCTGCTGCTGGTACTGGTGGTGGTGCTGGTGTTGGTGGTGGTGCTGATGCTTGTGCTGGAGCCGTTGCTTGGGCTGGTGATGGTGCTGGTGCTGATGTTGGTGCTGGTACTAGTGCTGGTGATGGTGCTGGTGTTGGTCGTGGTGCTGATGCTTCTGCTCGACCCGGTGCTTGGGCTGGTGATGGTGCTGATATTGGTGCTGGTGCTGGTGCTGGTGCTGGTGCTGGCGGTTGTGCTGCTGCCTGAATTAGTAGAATAGCTGGTGCTGGTGCTGGTGCTAGTGCTGGTGCTGGTGCCTGTGCTGTTGCTTTCGCTGATGCTGCCGCTTGTGCCCGTCCTAATGCCTGTACTAGTGCTGAAGCTGGTGCTGGTTTTGGTGCTGGTGCTGGCGCTTGTGCTGGTTCTTGTACCAGTAATGTTGCTGGAGCTGGAGCTGGTGCTGGTGCCTGTGCCGGTGCCAGTGCCGGTGCCAGTGCCGGTGCCTGTGCTGGTGCCTGTGCTGGTGCTGGTTCTGCTTTAAGTGCTGGACCCTGTAATTGTACTGGTGCTGGTGCTGATGCTGTTATTTCTGCTTGTGCCTGGGCTGGCTGCGGCGCTTGTGCTGGTGCCTGTACTAGTGCTGGTGCCTGTGATGGTGCTGGTGCTGGTGCATGGGCTGTTGCTTTTGTTGATGCTGGCGCTTGTGCCTGTCTGGTGCTTAGGCAGGTGCTGGTGCTGGTGCTGGTGATGGTGCTGGTGCTTATGCTGGTGCTTTGGCCGGTACTGCCACTTGTGCTGCTGCCTGTACTAGTAAAAGAGCTGTCTGTACTAGTAAAAGAACTGGTGCTGGTGCCTGTGCTGTTGATCTTGATGAAGCTGGCGCTTGTGCCTGTCCTAATGCTTCTACTAGTGCTGAAGCTGGTGCTGGTTTTGCTGCTGGTGCTGGTACTTCTGCTGGTGCTGGTGCTGATACTGTTGCTTCTACTTGTGCCCGGGCTGGTGGCGGCGCTTGTACTGGTGCCTAAATTAGTGCTGGAGCTGGTGCTGTTTTTGGTGCTTGTGCTGGTGCTGATGGTGCTGGTGCCTGTACAATTGCTTGTGCTTGTGCTGGCGTTTCTGCTGGTGCTTATGCCTGTGCCTATGCTTCTGCCTATACTAGTGCTGGTGTTTGTGCTGGACCTGGTGCTTGTGCTGGTTCTGGTGCCTGTGCTGGTGCCTGTGCTGGTGCCTGTGCTGGTGCCTGTGCTGGTGCCTGTGCTGGTGCCTGTGCTAGTGCCTCTGCTGGTGCCTGTGCTGGTGCCTGTGCTGGTGCCTGTGCTGGTGGTGATGTTGATGTTTGTGCCTGTGCGTCTGCCTATACAAGTGCTGGTGTTTTTGCTGGACCTTGTGCTTGTGCTGGTTCTGGCGCTAGAGCTGGTGCTGGTGCTGGTGATGGTGCTGGTGCTGGTGCTGGTGCTTCTGCCTGCCTTGGTGCTCACGTCGGTACTGGTGGGGGTGGTGGTGCTGGTGCTGGTGATGATGCTAGAGCTTGTGCTAGACCCGTTGCTTGTGCTTGAGCTGGTGCTGGTGCTGGTGCTGGTGCTGGTTCTGGTACGGGTGCTGGTGCCGTTGCTATTGCTGATGCTTCCGCTTGTGTCTGTCTTGGTACTTAGCCTGATGCTGGTTCTAGTGATGGTGCTGGTGGTGGTGCTGGTGCTTCACCCAGTGCTTGTGCTATTGTTGGTGCTGCTGTTGGCGCTTGTGCCTGTCCTGGTGCTCAGGCTGGTGCTGGTGCTGGTGGTGGTGTTGGTGGTGGTGCTGATGATTATGCTGGACCCGGTGCTTGGGCTGCTGATAGTGCTGGTGCTGATGCTGATGCTGGTGCTGTTGCTGGTGCTGGTGCTTATGCTGGTGCTTCGGGCGGTACTGGCACTTGTGCTTGTGCTGGTGTTTGTGCTTGTGCTGGTGCCTGTGCTGGTGGTGATGTTGATGCTGGTTCTGGTGCTTGTGCCTGTGCTTCTGCCTATACTAGTGCTGGTGTTTGTTCTGGCGCTGGAGCTGGTGCTGGTGCTGTTGATGGTGTTGGTGCTGGTGCTGATGCTTGTGCCTGTCCTATTGCCTGTACTAGTGCTCCAGCTGGTGCTGGTTTTGGTGCTGGTGCTGGCGCTTGTGCAGGTGCTTGTACCAGTAATGTTGTTGGAGCTGGTGCTGCTGCCTGTACTAGTAAAAGAGCTGGTGCTGCTGCTGGTGCTGGTGCTAGTGCTGGTGCAGGTGCCTGTGCCGTTGATCTTGCTGATGCTGGCCCTGGTTTTGGTGCTGGTGCTGGTGCTGGTGCTGATACTGTTGCTTCTGCTTGTGCCTTGGCTGGTGGCGGCGCTTGTACTGGTGCCTGTACCAGTGCTAGTGCTGTTGTTGGTCTTGTGCTGGTGGTGGTGGTGGTGGTGGTGCTGGTGCTGGTGCTTGACCAAGTGTTTCGGCTAGTGTTGGTGCTGGTGCTGGCGCTTGTGCCTGTCCTGGTGCAAAGGCTGGTGCTAGTGATGGGGGTGATGCTGGTGTTGGTCGTGATGCTGATGCTTTTGCTGGACTCGATGCATGGGATGGTGATGGTGCTGGTGCTGATGTTGGTGCTGGTGCTGGTGATGGTGCTGGAGTTGATGCTGCTGCTGGTGCTAGTGCTGGTGCTGGTGCCTGTGCGGCTGCTTCTGCTGATGCTGGAGCTTGTGCTTGTCCTAATGCCTGTAATAGTGCTCAAGCTGATGCTGGTTTTGATGCTGGTGCTGGCGCTTGTGCAGGTGCTTGTACCAGTAATGTTGTTGGACCTGGTGCTGGTGCCTGTGCTGGTGCCTGTGCTGGTGCCTCTGCTGGTGCCTGTGCTGGTGCCTGTGCTGGTGCCTGTGCTGGTACCTGTGCTGGTGCCTGTGCTGGTGCCTGTGCTGGTGCCTGTGCTGGTGCCTGTGCTGGTGCCTGTGCGGGTGCCTGTGCTGGTGCTGGTTCTGCTGTTAGTGCTGGACCCGATGTTCCTTTACTGGCGCTTGTGCTGATGCTGTTGTATCTGCTTGTGCCTGGGCTGGTGGCAGCGCTTGTGCTGCTGCCTGTACTAGTAAAAGAGCTGGAGCTGGTGCTATTGCTGGTTCTGGTCCTGGTGCTGGTGGTGCTGGTGGTGCTGGTTCTAGTGCCTGTCTTGGTGCTTAGGCTGGTGCTGGTGCTGGTGATGGTGCTGGTGCTGGTGCTTGTACTAGAATCGGTGCTTGTGCTTGTGCTGGTGCTGGTGCTTGTGCCGTTGCTTTTGCTGATGTTGGCTCTTTTGCCTTCCTGGTGCTTAGGCTGGTGCTGGTGCTGATGCTGGTGGTGGTGCTTGTGCTTGACCAAGTGTTTGTGCTAGTGTTGGTGCTGGTGCTGGCGCTTGTGCCTGTCCTGGTGCAAAGGCTGGTGCTAGTGCTGCTGGTGGTGCTGGTGTTGGTCGTGATGCTGATGCCTGTGCTGGACCCGATGCTTGGGCTGGTGATTGTGCTGGTGCTGATGTTGGTGCTGGTGCTGGTGATGGTGCAGGAGCTGGTGCTGCTGCTGGTGCTAGTGCTGGTGCTGGTGCCTGTGCGGTTGCTTTTGCTGATGCTGGCACCCGCCTATGTTGATGCTGGTTCTGGTGCTTGTGCCTGTGCTGGTGTTTGTGGTGGTATTGCTGCTTGTGCTTGACCCAGTGCTTGTGCTGTTGTTGGTGCTGGTGCTAGCGCTTGTGCCTGTCCTGGTGCTTAGGCTGATGCTGGCCCTTGTGCCTGCCTGGTGCTTAGGCTGGTGCTGGTGCTGGTGCTGGTGCTGGTGCAGGTGCTGGTTGTGGTGGTGGTGCTTGTGCTTGACCCAGTGCTTGTGCTGGTGTTGGTGCTGGTGCTGGAGGTTGTTCCTGTACTGGTGCTTAGGTTGGTGCTGGTGCTGGTGGTGGTGCTGGTGCTGGTGGTGGTGCTGGTGTTGGTGGTGGTGCTGATGCTTGTGCCGGACCCGGTGCTTGGGCTGGAGATGGTGCTGGTGCTGATGCTGGTGCTGTTGCCGGTGTTGGTGCTTTGGACGGTTTTGGCACTTGTGCTGCTGCCTCTACTAGTAAAAGAGCTGTCTGTACTAGTAAAAGAGCTGGTGCTCCTGCTGGTGCTGCTGCTAGTGCTGGTGCTGGCGCCTGTGTGGTTGATTTTCTGATGCTGGTGCTTGTGCTAGACCTGGTGCTTGTATTGGTGCTGGTGCTGGTGCTGGTGCTGGTGCTGGCACCTTTGCCGTTGATCTTGCTGATGATGGCGCTTGTGCCTGTCCTAATGCCTCTACTAGTGCTGAAGCTGGTGCTTGTTTTGGTGCTGGTGTTTGTGCTGGTGCTGGTGATGATACTGTTGCTTCTGCTTGTGCCTGGGCTGGTGGCAGCGCTTGTACTGGTGCCTCTACTAGTGCTAGTGCTGGTGCTGTTGCTGGTTCTGGTGCTGGTTCTGGTGTTTGTGCTGGCGCTTGTGCCTGTCCTGGTGCTTAGGCTGGTGCTGGTGTTGGTGATGGTGCTAGTGCTGGTGCTTATGTTGGTGCTGGTGCTGGCGCTGGTGCTGGTTGTGGTGCTGGTGCTGGCGCTTGTGTCTGTCCTGGTGCTTAGGTTGGTGCTGGTGGTGGTGCTGGTGTTGGTGGTGGTGCTGATGCTTGAGCTGGACCCGGTGCTTGGGCTGGTGATGGTGCTGGTGCAGATGACGGTGCTGATGCTGGTGCTGGTGCTTATGCTGGTGCTTCAGCCAGTACTGGCACTTGTGTTGCTGCCTGTACTAGTAAAAGAGCTGGTGCTGCTGCTGGTGCTGGTGCTAGTGCTGGTGCAGGTGCCTGTGCCGTTGATCTTGCTGATGCTGGCGCTTGTGCCTGTCGTAAAGCCTCTACTAGTGCTGAAGCTGGTGCTGGTTTTGGTGCTGGTGCTGGTGCTTGTGTTTGTGCTGATACTGTTGCTTCTGCTTGTGCCTGGGCTGGTGGCGGCGCTTGTACTGGTGCCTGTACCAGTGCTAGTGCTGCTGTTGGTCTTGTGCTGGCGCTGGTGTTTGTGCTGGTGCTAGTGCTGGTGCTGGTGTTGGTGTTGGTGTTGGTGCTGGTGCTGGTGCTGGTGCTGGTGCTTGTGCTTCACCCAGTTCTTGTGCTGGTGCTGGTCCTGGCGCTTCTGCCCTCTTGGTGATTAGGCTGGTGCGGGTGGGGGTGGTGGTGCTGGTGCTAGTGATGATCCTGGTGCTTGTGCTAGACCCGGTGCTTGTATTGGTGCTGGTGCTGGTGCTGGTGCTGGTGCTGGTGCTGGTGCTGGTGCTGGTGCTGGTGCTGGTGCTGGTGCTGGTGCTGGCGCCGTTGTTTTTGCTGATGCTGGCGCTTTTGCCTGTCCTAGTACTTAGGCTGGTGCTGGTTCTAGTGTTGGTGGTGGTGGTGGTGGTGGTGCTTGTGCTTGACCCAGTGCTTGTGCTGGTGTTGGTGCTGGTGCTGGAGGTTGTGCCTGTACTGGTGCTTAGGTTGGTGCTGGTGCTGGTGGTGGTGCTGGTGCTGGTGGTGGTGCTTGTGTTGGTGGTGGTGCTGATGCTTGTGCTGGACCCGGTGCTTGGGCTGGAGATGGTGCTGGTGCTGATGCTGGTGCTGTTGCCGGTGTTGGTGCTTTGGCCGGTTTTGGCACTTGTGCTGCTGCCTCTACTAGTAAAAGAGCTGTCTGTACTAGTAAAAGAGCTGGTGCTCCTGCTGGTGCTGCTGCTAGTGCTGGTGCTGGCGCCTGTGTGGTTGATTTTCTGATGCTGGTGCTTGTGCTAGACCTGGTGCTTGTATTGGTGCTGGTGCTGGTGCTGGTGCTGGTGCTGGCACCTTTGCCGTTGATCTTGCTGATGATGGTGCTTGTGCCTGTCCTAATGCCTCTACTAGTGCTGAAGCTGGTGCTTGTTTTGGTGCTGGTGTTTGTGCTGGTGCTGGTGATGATACTGTTGCTTCTGCTTGTGCCTGGGCTGGTGGCAGCGCTGGTACTGGTGCCTCTACTAGTGCTAGTGCTGGTGCTGTTGCTGGTTCTGGTGCTGGTTCTGGTGTTTGTGCTGGCGCTTGTGCCTGTCCTGGTGCTTAGGCTGGTGCTGGTGTTGGTGATGGTGCTAGTGCTGGTGCTTATGCTGGTGCTGGTGCTGGTGGTGTTGCGGGTGATTGTGCTGGTGCTGGTGCTGGCGCTGGTGCTGGTTGTGGTGCTGGTGCTGGCGCTTGTGTCTGTCCTGGTGCTTAGGTTGGTGCTGGTGGTGGTGCTGGTGTTGGTGGTGGTGCTGATGCTTGAGCTGGACCCGGTGCTTGGGCTGGTGATGGTGCTGGTGCAGATGACGGTGCTGATGCTGGTGCTGGTGCTTATGCTGGTGCTTCAGCCAGTACTGGCACTTGTGTTGCTGCCTGTACTAGTAAAAGAGCTGGTGCTGCTGCTGGTGCTGGTGCTAGTGCTGGTGCAGGTGCCTGTGCCGTTGATCTTGCTGATGCTGGCGCTTGTGCCTGTCGTAATGCCTCTACTAGTGCTGAAGCTGGTGCTGGTTTTGGTGCTGGTGCTGGTGCTTGTGTTTGTGCTGATACTGTTGCTTCTGCTTGTGCCTGGGCTGGTGGCGGCGCTTGTACTGGTGCCTGTACCAGTGCTAGTGCTGCTGTTGGTCTTGTGCTGGCGCTGGTGTTTGTGCTGGTGCTAGTGCTGGTGCTGGTGTTGGTGTTGGTGTTGGTGCTGGTGCTGGTGCTGGTGCTTGTGCTTCACCCAGTTCTTGTGCTGGTGCTGGTCCTGGCGCTTCTGCCCTCTTGGTGATTAGGCTGGTGCGGGTGGGGGTGGTGGTGCTTGTGCTAGTGATGATCCTGGTGCTTGTGCTAGACCCGGTGCTTGTATTGGTGCTGGTGCTGGTGCTGGTGCTGGTGCTGGTGCTGGTGCTGGTGCTGGTGCTGGTGCTGGTGCTGGTGCTGGTGCTGGCGCCGTTGTTTTTGCTGATGCTGGCGCTTTTGCCTGTCCTAGTACTTAGGCTGGTGCTGGTTCTAGTGTTGGTGGTGGTGGTGGTGCTGGTGCTTGTGCTTGTCCTAGTGCTGGTGCTGGTGTTGGGGCTGGTGCTGCTGCTGCTGCTGCTGCTGGTGCTGGTGCTAATTCTGGTGCTTAGGCTATTGATGCTGCTGGTGCTGGTGGTTCTGGTGGTGCTGATGGTGGTGCTGCAGGTGGTGCTGGTGGTGCTGGGGATGGTGCTGGTGCTTGTTCTTGACCCAGTGCTTGTGCTGATGTTATTGCTGGTGCTGGCGCTTGTGCCTGTCCTGGTGCAAAGGCTGGTGCTAGTGCTGGTGGTGGTGCTGGTGTTGGTCGTGATGCTGATGCTTGTGCTGGACCCGATGCTTCGGCTGGTGATTGTGCTGGTGCTGATGTTGGTGCTGGTGCTGGTGATGGTGCAGGAGCTGGTGCTGCTGCTGGTGCTAGTGCTGCTGCTGGTGCCTGTGCTGGTGCCTGTGCTGGTGCCTGTGCTGGTGCCTGTGCTGGTGCCTGTGCTGGTGCCTGTGCGGGTGCCTGTGCTGGTGCCTGTGCTGGTGCCTGTGCGGGTGCCTGTGCTGGTTCTGCTGTTAGTGCTGGACCCGGTGCTTGTACTGGCGCTGGTGCTGATGCTGTTGTGTCTGCTTGTGCCTGGGCTAGTTGCAGCGCTTGTGCTGGTGCCTGTACTAGTAAAAGAGCTGCAGTAAAAGAGCTAAAAGAGCTGGTGCTGGTGCTGTTGCTGGTTCTGGTGCTGATGCTAATGCTGGTGCTGGTTTTGGTTCTAATGCTGGTCCTTTGCCCGGTGTTGGCGCTTGTGCTGGTTGCTGTACTGTTACTGGAGCTGGTGTTGGTGCTGGTGCTTAGGCTGGTTCTGGTGGTAGTGCTAGTGCTGGTCCTGGTGCTGGTGCCTGTACTGTTGCTTGTGCAGGTGCTGGTGTTGGTGCTGGTTCTGGCGTTTGTGCCTATCCTAGTGCTGGTGTAGATGGTGATTGTGGTGCTGGTGCTGGTGCTTGTGCCTCTCCTGTTATTTAGTCTTGTGCTTGTGCTTGTGCTGGTGCTGGTGCTGGTGCTGGGGCTGGTGCTGGTGCTGCTGCTGCTGCTGGTGCTGGTGCTGCTGCTGGTTCTGGTGCTGGTGCTGGTAACTGTGCTGGTGCTAGTGCTGGTGCTTGTGCCTGTCCTGGTTTTTAGGCTGGTAGTGTTACTGGTTGTGGTGTTGGTTCTGGTGGTGGTACTTGTGCTGGTATTTGTGCTGGGCCTGGTGCTTGTTCTGGTGCTGGTGCTTGTGCTGGTTCTGGTGCTAGTGATGGTGCTTGGGCTGGTGCCTGTGCCGTAGCTTATGGTGGTGCTGGTGTTGGTGCTGGTGCTGGCGCTTGTGCCTGTCCTGGTACTTTTGCTGTTGGTGGTGTTGGTGGTGGTGCTGGTTCTGGTACTTGTGCTGGACCTGGTGCTTGTGCTGGTGCTTGTGCTGGTGCCTGGGCCGGTTTCTCCGCTTGTGCTGGTGCTTGTACTAGTTCTGCAGGTAGTGCTTGTTCTGGTTCTGGTGCTAGTGCTGGTGCTACTGCCAGTGCTGGTGGTGGTGTTGGTGCTGTTGCTGGTTCTCGCACCGGTGTTTGTGCTGAAGCTTGGGCCTGTGCCGGTTCTTGTGCTGGTGCTTGAACTAGTGCTAGTGCTGGTGCTGGTTCTGGTGCTGGTATTGGACCGAGTGCTTGTGCTGGTGGTGGTGTTGGTGCTGTTGCTGGTGCTGGTGCCTGTTCTGGTGTCTATACTAGTGCTGGTATTTGTGCTGGACCCTGTGCTTGTGCTGGTGCTGGAGCAGGTGCTGGAGAACTATTCTGTAGAAGTTGCACCACAAACATAGATTTTTGGAATAGGTTTTTGAAGGTGCTCAGAATTGAGATCTTGAAATTTTTGCCTTGAGAAAAGATCATTCAGGGTAGGTGCTTTTGGAGTTTTGTGTTCTCCAGAGGAAATGTGATTTTTTAAGTTCGACATAGGATCTATGGCCCAGGAATCAGACCCCAGCTGCATATTTTTTGCTGTAGTTGCAGGCATGATTCTTTGATGGTTGTAAAGCCATTAAAGCTCTCTGTGCTGTTTTTATCCTCACATCCATTGTCATCGGCAGATTCCTTTGGAACTTTTTTGTCTCCAACATTAAAAATTGATGTAGCTGCTGCATTGGACAGTGATTTGATGGCACTTTCGATTTCAGCTGTGCAAAGTAGGCATTTATTTTCGTTTCCATCACCCAAACATTCAGTATGGTATGAGTGGCCACATCCATGCATTATTTTGAAGCATCTGCTTTCTTTTGTGCAGTTTGGAAGATCACATCTCCTGTAAGGATTTTGATTACACTACTAATTGCTGATTTTAAAAGACTTCTCTTTATTCACTTGTGAGAGTTAACAATGGATCATGGTGGAAACGATGTTGGGCATTTGCATCAAAATAGTCCTTACTATTTATCAAAGGTCATCTGGAAATGAGGGCTGTGTAATATCTAAAATTATAAAGGAAACCTATCATTATTATGGTTCTCTATAGAATAATGCTTATTATATATTAGAGGCATTCTTTAACACAAACCTGTTTGGGTTTGGCTCTTTACCAGCAAATTGGAATCAAAGTGGAAGGACCTGTGTTGATACTACAGCATCATCTCCATAGATACTTGGCATCTTCCAGTAAGACATAGATTTCTGTTTTCCTTTTGGCCTATTAACTTGTGTAGCTTGGTTTGGGTGCTGTCTGATGTCATCCAAAATGCTGATTATGATCAAGAATGATCAAGAATGAGCTGAAAAAGTGGATGACCTATTTGTTTCCAATATAAAAAGTTGCTTAACCAGACAAGAGGAGCTTTGTTGTAGTGGCGTCTCCGAAAGCAGAAAAACATCATCCAGCACCTGAAAATTGAGTCAACAAAGAGCTCAGTTTGACCACTTTTGAAAATGATTGAATAGATGGACAGACCAAGTGGAAGATAGTTGTCAAGAAGATTGAGGAGAGTCAAGTCTAGGTATTGCAATAGGCCTTGGTCAGTAGTGTGTTTGAGGGCTTGCAAAAAATTTTCAAAATTCTTCAATGGCAATTCAAGTTCATCTAACAGTTTGCATTGCTGCATTCGTCTCATATCTCTCCTTTGCTGCATAGCTTGATAGTCATGGATCTCAAGTCTCTTTCTCTCTTTTTCAGGGTCAAAAAATTCTGCAGTTATCCACAAGGGCATGGTAGAGGCAAAGGTAGAAGATGCTTTGTACATATTTTCACTGGCGAATTGGGAAAGAAGGTTGCTGCTGATACCATCTGGATTTGTGTGATTTCCATTGGATGATATCGCATGTATTCCTGGAAACTTTTTTAACAGGATTGTAGCCATACTTCTGGCATCAGAGGTTTTCAAATCTTTCGGACGTCTTTTGGTATGAATATTTGTGTAATCATCTATAAGTAGAATTAGAAGTTCTCTGTTTGTGACAGCCTCATTTATGTAGTCAAAAACAGCATTGTTGTGTTTCTCCATATTTTTATGAACACTTCGTCTTGTGTGATTGGCCAAACATGAAGATAAAAAGAATTGCAACAACTTTCTTTTCATTAGACATTCGTTTCTTATCTGATTGGCCCACACAAGACATGGCATTCAAAATGGCATCAAAGATTTTTGTTGCTCCTGCCTGCTTGCAAAGTTCTTTCACTTTGATGGATTTAAAGATGGTTGCTGATCATCACTGCTGTACAAGGACCAAAAATGTTCTCTGCAAAGCTTTACTTCTTCTTGCAAATCTGTACTACTTGAAACAGTTTCTCAAAATTTATCAACAATTGACATGTCTATGTACATCAGATTGTTTGCTACCTCTACTGGACCTAGACCAGGAAAGTACTGCAAATGCACTTTTGAATTGGGAACATATTTTGCAAGGTTTTCTGGGACTAAATAATATGTTTTGTCACCAATAAATGCCTTTTCAAATATTGGACCTTCTTGTGAAACAGTTTCTTTATTTGGTGATGTCATTATGGTGCTGGAGTAGTGCTCTTCCTGGGAAGCATTATCTGTGCTTTGGGATAATTCTGACTGACTTGATTCAAATTCGCTTAGGATTTCTTTCATCTAGTAATTGAATGATAACCACTAGATCATAAAAATGACCAGTATGAAACTTTAATGTTTTTCAAAAATTTCTGAACCCCTTAATACTCAACCCTCCCCCCTCAAGAAGACCCCCACCCTTGAACTTAAAATTGTTATAATTATAATAATGGCAGAATTTAACTGAAAAAGATAGATATACTCCATTGTAGTGTTTTAACCTTTCATGTAAAACAATAGCAATTCATCAAAAATCCAACTGTGATAGAAAGTGCAATTTCCAGAATGTTTCCATGCAATTATACTGTATGTTCTATGCAAAAAAGGTTCGCAAAAATTTGTTAGAAGAAACTTGATATTAATTTTGGCAATTTTATTTTGGCAAAATTAAATTTTTTATTAAAGATGGGGGGAGGGGCACGTACCACTTTTGTTCTCATTGTAAAAATTATTGTAAAAATTGAAGGTCATGTGTGTCAAATATGTTTCTCTAATACTTACAGTTTGATAAGACGGCAAGCTTTGATGATTGCCTGGAAGCTTGCAGGTATACGACCTCTTCTTGAAACAGCTCTTCAGGCAGTCCGTACAAAACGAATCTCTTATCTTTCTTCCGCCTCTTGGCGGAAATGCCTTGAAAAAGACATTGCTACGGCCTACTTTTCCGTGCAGGTTGATAAGATACGCACTTTTACTTCCCCATGTACCGTGTTCGGCGTTGCCACCAGTTTTTCCGAATTTTCCCATTTTATTTTAACCATGGAAACATTTGTTTACAAATTTTTTTGAATTATGGTGTCATTTAAATTTCCCGCCATCCCATAGAGCACGTGATATTTTCCCGCCACTTTCCGTTGAAGAGTTACGTGCTGTCGCCATTGATTAAATTCTAGTCCAGTGGCAAATGCAAAAGCATCTTATTTCCAAAAATTGATATAAATTGTGGTTTTATTCGCAAGAAAACATAAATTTCAATAAAGAGGGCGGATAATGTCAAGGGAGTGGTAAGTACAACTTGCACTGTAATTGAATAGCGATATTTCTTCAACCGAGAAAGATTGAGCAAATGTTCGCGGTAGATTTTTAGATATAAGATTCAAGAGTAGTTTAGTTGAAAAAAATAACCAAAATATGCTAGCAAATTTTACAACGGGGTTTTTAAACGAGGAGTGGTTAAAATGCTAAAATGTAGGGAGGCAGTGAGGCCTATCAATTTCCGCATTGCACGGCATGAAGTGACTCACAGTGTATGGCGTTCTATTGCATCTCGCTATTAGGATTGTTATTTCGTGCGTTTCTTTTTTATCTAAGAATTGACAGACTGATAAGAAAAGACAGTCTTATAATAGGGTTGGAAGTAAACGGCTCCCGCCAGTATTTCTACGGATAGAAGTGGGATGGATCAATTTTACTTCACCGGTTTGTTGACGATTAGGCCTATCCTTACTGTTAGGTTCTTCAAAATTGTCGCTTTTCTGTAAAATTTATAAACTTTTCCTTAAATCTTATTCCTTTGGTACTTGCTAGATTCCTTCTAGTATCATGACCGATGACTTGCAAGGTGATCACGTGATACACCTCGTCAAAAATATCTGCTTCAAATATTTGACTGTTTGTTTGCGAAGGTCCGCCAAAAAAGATAATAAAACAAGTCATAAATAAAAAGAAACCAAATATTCGCCATCAGATCAATAAACTCATTTTGTTTAAAAATGATTAGGAACTGCAAAAAAGACTGTAGATCCTCCGAAAACAATGATCGGTACCTTCACTATTAATGCCAAGAATTATGCATTACCTTCCCATTTTCCTTGAAATTCAATTATTCACGCTCGTAGGTGTTTCATACTTTACAATTTAATCACTTAAAACTTAATTTTTGCCTGAATTCTTTGCTTAATTTCGCACGTTTCATAAAATTGTTTGTACAGCACCTTTCCGCTCTTGCCGTACAAATGATATTTCTCCCGGCTTCACTTCCTGTGGTCAAAGCTGCCTCGAGTTGACTGACGCGACTGCGATGGTCTGGCCCAGGTAAAATTGTGAATAGATGCAGAACTTTTAGCTTATTAAAGTAGCAACTATCTCTTGAGGTGAATAATAGAAAATAGCTAGGCCCATTTGTCATGGTTTTATTGCCATTCCTTTATTTGATATCTAGGTATTCGCTGTACACTTTGGAAAACTTCCTGAACCTAGACTTCTGCTTGTGCATGTGGCGAATAAATTTATTCATATGGCGAACCTAGCCTTCTGTATAAAGCATGATAATTGTGTAAGCTTTTGTTCCATTACAGGCAAAAATTCCTCAAATCCTCAAAATATACTTTGTCTCTACACCTGGAGTTTGGCAGCTTTGATAGAAATCTATTCGTAATGACGGCAAAAATTGGAGCTCGTTTAATGTTGCTAATATTTTTTCACTATAAGTTGTGTTACTGAGCTGTTTTGTTCTGTTATTGTTGATATCCTGGTGATAATCAAGTACTTCTTGCGTTTGTCTTTGTCCATTTCTGTGTACCGCCATCATACAACTTTACTTTGGCATTTTTCCTTTCCTCAAGCGCATGCATTTCATAACGTATCGTTACTTCCAGTTTACAATATTGAAATCACTACACTCTCATACAGCATTTAACTTTAAGTTGAAAGAAAAAAAACATTTGGCGCCAAAAGCGTGTCACTTGTCCTTTAAGGAGCAAAGAGAGTGGGGGGGGGGTGACCTTTTGGGACCATGCTCTAAAATGTTTACATGCGATCTGCTTTTAGAGACACCAAAGCTACAAACTAACAACTAGGGCCACCGAAAGGAGCGGGCGGTGGCAAATTGCCCTAGGGCCTTGAGGGTTACGAGGCCCCTCTAGGTTTCCAGTTCAAGGAAGCCATTATTAAGACTAACAAAATTATTCCCAAAAACGTTTACAATGTTTTAAATGATTGCAAAGAAATGACTGAAAGAAAGGTCTGAATTTTTTGCTTATATAAAGGGCATGGTTGCCAAAGATTTTCTGCTTGCTTCGCTCGAAAAAGACCTTGTCTTTCCGTTTTGCCACAGGGCCTCCAAAACCTCTCGGCCACACTGCTCGCAACTAAGCCAGAAAATTATATCTATATCATTATAGCTAGGCTACCAGAAAAAGTCTTTCTCGACTTTTATGTTAGGATGCCCCTTCAGACAGGTTTTTCATCGTTCTAGAATATTTGTTAGGGTGCCCTTTAAACAGTTGCCTTCCCCCCCCCCCCCCCACCTTTCTAATCCTTCCTGACATTTTCAGTGATAAATCTGAATGCCCTCCCTACTGAAGGCATTATTTTTATATATCCATATAAAATATTACAAACATAGGCATTGTGTCTTGATGGTGACCCAGCTGATCCCCACAGAGTGCATCTCCAATGCCTTTTCTAAAAGAGATACAAACTTATATAATTAACTACAGTAAGGCTATCTTCAAAATTAAATATGAATATCATAGATTTCCTTTGAATCTTTTTGAGAGGGCATTGCCCCAGATGCCCATTAGCAAGAGCCGCCACTGACTTCAAGAATACAAAGTTGGTGACCATTCAGATACTGATCATGCACAGGCTTTAGCCTTGTATGTACTGATAACTTCAACAAAACATCAGGAAATTTGGCAGGCTTTTGACCATTATTTTGCTGTCTCTCAACGGTAAATGCCACTTGATATCGGTTTCAGGATAAGTAAGTTTCAATGCATTTGTTTAATGATGGAATCAATACAAACATGAGTGTTCTTTTGTGTAAATCTTCACAATTGGCGGCCATTTTTAACGATTGAAATGTATCCTGGATTAAAGATGTAAAAACAACGTTACTATATGTCTATTGTGGCACTGAAATTTAGATATGTACGAACAATTCAACTTGAAAAACATATAATGCTCAGTCCCAGAAAATAAAGAAACCGAAAAGAATTGGGAAGACACGGAGAAGGTGGTTAACAACTGGTAAAAGATAAGCTTCATATACAGGAGGAGGTGGAAATTAAGAGATGCCACAGAATTAACCATCAAAAAATGGAAAGAGTGCGGGTAATCGTAATCATTTAGGTGTTAAACCGCCACGGAATATCGTGGCAAAATTTTCCGGCTGGAAAGTTAAAGAAAAAATTCTAAAGAAAGCAAGAACAATCATACCTGCTAATTTGAAATTCGTTGCTGATTTCTCACAAAAAACGCTCAGCTGCTCAAGTGCCTGATCTCCTCCAAGCAAGAGCCGATGGGAAAATTGCATACTTTGTTATGGAGCGACTTTTCGTCAAAGAAAAACCCCCAAATAATCGATCTGTACCGAGACAAGGATCAACTAGTGCTGATCCTGAGGTGACATTTAGAGGTTTCTAAACTCTGAACTTTGGTTTGCTTTGTGTTTGTCATAAACTTTTCAGTAATTTCTCTATTTGGTTAATTCCTTTCATTTCCTTTACGAGGCTCAAATGGTAGGAACTACCAAAAGTCCCTGCAGTATATGTCACAAAAATGTGATTAAGAAAGGCATTTACTGCAATCAATGCAATCTTTGGTATCATTTGAAGTGCAATGACATCACTGTGGCTGAATATGAGACACTTTCAAATGAACCTGATGATATTCCATGGTTTTGTATCAGCTGCACAATAACATATCATGAATCTATCTTTCCTTTTGGCACAATTGAAAATGAAACTTTACTAAATCTTTTTGATAAACCTTCCGTTGTAGATTCATTACCATCATTTGAAATCACCTCTTGTCTCACCAACTTGCCTAGCCTGCAAGACTATGATGTTGATGAAAGTCTGTCTTCTAATATTGATTCTAGTTATCACACAATTCAAGATTTATCTACTTCTCTCACTTCTCATACTGATCTTTTCTTCTTGCACATGAATATACAAAGTCTTTCCTGTCATTTTGATGAACTTCATTCCTTGTTAGTTAATCTAAACATTAGTTTTAGTGTTGTTGCTGTTTCCGAAACTTGGGATTTATTTGCAAGACCACTGAGCACAAACGTGGACATCCCTGGGTACACATTTTTCTCTTCAAAATCCCAAAGTCAAAATGGTGGTGTTGGTCTTTATGTTAAAGCTTGTTTGGGCCC